GTTTTTGGACTTTTGCCGCCCCATTTGTAGGGCATAGTTTTTATATTTATATGTCCCATTTTGCCCCATATTGTCAAACCAGAGGTTCGACAGTGTTGTTATCAATATATTTAAAAATCATTACAAGAAATTATTGGTTTCTTTTTAGCTATCGTACAAAAAACTAATAAATTGTTTGTAGTTTATATATTCTACAACATGCTACATTAGCAATTTGTATGGGCCTAAACAAGTTATGACCTCTCAAGGGGTTTAGAAAACAAGTCCGCGATAATGCCTTCAGGCGTTGGGAGACTTGACCCAACTTGTATCGGTTTTCTCTCTGTTAGTCTCTCTCTTAACCCTTTCATGACTTGAGCTAGTACTCTAGTTGTCCAATATTAATCGGTACATATCTCTAAAAATGCACCTTTCTGAATGTATAATTTCTGAAAGACTTATCATTGCTAGGTGTGAATATGAGGCCTCCTTCCCAGTTCGGCAGGAATCTGTTATCAAGGTTTGTGCCCATACTGACTACTCACTATCAATGTGTTACTAATAAATAAAGGGTAAAAAAGAGTACCTTGCTCTGCATTATTAAGCCACAAAGAAAACCTAACCTGAACTACCATCGACAATCCTCAACATTTTTCTCGAGCAAATTATAAAATTAATCTTTCCATAATTATGTAAACAATCTAATTCATAAGTTTTTGTTTTTTGTTACGTAAAATAACAGGAGCTAGGAGCTTCATCTTTTTGATTGTTTATACCGTTTTCAAGCGGGTTTTCAAGTGACATGAAACCCAGAAGAAAGGCTGAATTATATTTCTATTTCCTTATTTAACCCACGCCGTATCTATAATATATTTAATTCCGTAAACGAATAGGTCCCCGCAAAATACATCGAGCAACGAAAAAGGTAGCCTGGCTGTTGAGGATTCATTTTAAGGCTTAAGGTCCAAGGACGGTGGGAAAGATATCAGAAGTGTCAAAGATTTTACCTAACCCGCCATGTTAAACTTCCCTATCCCAAGCGTGATGTATACAACTTCCTTACTTCTCGAGTGATGTAAAGTATCAAAAACTCACTCGGTGATGTAATGAATCCCATTTAAATAACATTGAGTTGATAACTTAAAAAATATACCTCTATGGAGCCATCGACGTTCAACGCTAGAAATCAGCTGTGCGCTTGGATTTTATTGTTAATGCTTTGAAGAATTTTCCTAACCTAGCTTTTGTTTGTAAAAGAACGTTACTGTTAGAAGATGAGTGAAATTGATAATGAAGCATATTGCTCGTAACCTCCTGAATTTTGTCGGGTCAGGTAAAATATTGTACGTTACACGTTACGCAAGAGCGTGTTTACATCACTTCGGTGAATTATGCAACTCGCCTTCGCTCGTTGCACAACATTCACCTGCGTGATGTAAAAACGCTCTTACTGCACTTGTAATGTAAATAGCTATTACCCCTGCTCTGCCCTACAGGCCATCAATGATTCAGCCATTTTTAATGGACTGCTACTAACAGTGTTTCTATTTAAGCGGTTTTAAATATGCCAGCTGATGTAAACATTGAGTATTTGTTTGTTTATTGATTTTAGTGTTCTGTTTTTAGGTTAGAATGGTAATGCAGAGTTTAAATGTATCGTGTTTTAGGGGAAGGCCGTCACAATGAAGGAGAGTATTTACAATGAAGGTTTGTAATCATTGGTATTGATAAGGAATGGTGCAAAGCATAGGGAATGGTTAAGGCCAAATTACAACGGAGGTGAATGGGATCAATTGCTGCTATGGACCCCTAGTTTAATTTAAAGTAATACTCGCCCTCTTAGAAGTATTAAGCTACAAGTTCCAGAAAACAAACAAATTTAAATATCTGGTAGTAACAATCACGAACAATAACAGAGAAGGTGTTCAAATTCAAAACTGACTCACGGTAGCAGAAAAATCATATTGTGGTGAGAGAGAGATGGTAAAGCAGATGATAAGAGGTACGCCGGAGGGCAGGAGACCATTGGGAAGACCAAGGATGCGATGGGTTGACAAGATTACGAAGGACTTAAGAAGAGTGGGCGAAGACGTAGAGCTCTGGCAGAAGACAAAGGATCCAGGAGGCACATGGTTGGTGAGGCCAAAGACCGTCTACGTTTTCAATGGCCACCGCAGTAAGAGTAAGTAATACTGGCTCTCGCATATTGACTTTGTTTATTGAAAGTTACGCTGATTACGTGGTAATTCTCACTATCCGTAAGAAACTGCACAACAAATAATAAATTCAAAAGCTACTTGGGTAGTTTTAGTAACCTGGAAATTTATAATATTGGTATAAGATCAAACTAATTTATTTAATGAAGAATTAACGATTTGATGATGATATGCCTGTATGTAAAACGTATTAAGGTACGCGATTCAAATTTAATTTCACGCTGGTATATCCAATTGTGTTATTTTAAGTTGTAAGATTCAACTGATACCGCGATACGTTCTATATTTAGAATATATCGAGAACGTATCCATTTAATTATAAATTTGACTTTCTCAGGAAAACATTAAGTATTATAACGGTCCAGATTTATCTAATCTATCTCTAGCTTTCACTGTTTGGGAAGGTTTTAGTCGAAGCTTAAACGCGTTGGGCCGCTGCTGAACAAGTTCCTAATGGTTTTAGACTATTTTGAATCGAAGCAGTTAAGCATATATTCACACAAGTGGTGTTATTTTACTTAGACATAGCTTTTCTCCTCCATTTAATTATAAATTTGACTTTCTCAGGAAAACATTAAGTATTATAACGGTCCAGATTTATCTAATCTATCTCTAGCTTTCACTGTTTGAGAATTTGGATCCTAAATTCTCAACATCAATAATCGTTATTGCTTTAAATATCTATTTTAATATTCATCCATACACGTTTTGCTAGAAACCAAGCCTAATAAATTAGCAGCAAAATACATTATGTTTTATTTTATGGGGAACTAATCCTTTTTCTTGGCAAATTATTAAATACTCACTCTAATTTTTTTTTTTAAATTTAAAATAGATGAAGTCTTTGTAAAATGTATAAGAATCGTATGTAAGAAAAACCAAGATTTTTAAAATGAATTAAGTATCTCTATTTTCCATCCATGAAAGGACCTTATGAAATCAGAAACGGTAATTGTACATTTTGTTTGAAGTAGGCCTAGATATTAAATTATATTTTGTGACTTAAGCTAACAAGATTTTATAAAAGTGTAAAAAATATTTCATTTTAATATCTACAAACCTTTTTGAAGTTGATTGTTTATATATGTCGTACAAAATGTGATATGTTTTATTGCAGTAAATATTATTTGTTTAAAATATTTCAGGTGTAATGAGTAAAACAGACGATTAGAAAGATTATCGCTATTTATGAAATATACGGTTGTGAAATGAAAGTAAATTCACAACAAAGCTAAAACGATGCCACTCTCAATATCAGTTTCCACCCAAGCAATTTTCAATATACCATATTATAAATATTCACGACGGTTTACATTTTAAATTGGAATAGTTGACTTAGTTTTTAAACAGCACATAATAAACTTTTGTGTTTATAATGATAATTACTTTTTCTTTGCCAATAAATCCACACTAAACCCTTTTGAGTGTTTAGGTTGTCGCACGGTAGCAGTAGAGGTTGGGAGAGAATGTAAAAATGCGACGGCGCTAGATAGGCAATACAGGTACACGCCTCGACATACACCTTGTCCGACAACACACCTGTTATACAGTGTCTCCCAGAAGTCATTAAATCGCAAAATATGTTTACTATGACTGATTATTATCATAGCTTAACCATACTAGGCTACCTCATATATTAGCATAGCCTCCTATATACAGGAGGCCGATATTAGTCACTCTAATGTATAAAATTAAAACATTTCTCATGTAGGCTATGTTTGTGTCTGTTATATGTGGCATACAGTGCGTTATACTGTTTAGTATCTATATTTTGGTTTGCTATTGCGCTAACTCAAAACCTTTACAAGCTAAATATAATATTATACATCAATTAACAAGAGTAGAACATTACTTTTTCTCTCATATTACGAAAAAATAAAGCCCACACTGTACAAGTTTCTCTGAAATAAAAAATAGTAAATATAAGTGCACAACAAGGTAACGGGAGTTGAAACAAACATGTTAACAGGCTTTGGATTTTATAATACGACAAGAAGTCTTCTTGATGTGTTTAAAGTCAATAAACGTTGCCAAAATATTTACCGTCTACATGATATGTAGGGAAATTAACGATATTCAGCTAGAATGGAGAAGAGATGTTTGAACTAAGTCTATTGCCCCAAACACTTTGGCGTTGATGCAAGTTTGCAAGCATTGAGAATTATCAGCTTTGGATTAAATATAATTTTCTCAAACATAACTTTTTATGTATAAATCACAATTTTAACAACGGATCAAATCATATTCGTGATTACATACATAATTACTGATACATACTTGATTTTATCTAAATATTCAACTTTAAAATAATCTATTTTAATCATTTACATAAATGTTATTTTTTACTGCAGTTACCATAAGTTTAATGGTATTATTTTATAATTAGTAAAATATGGAATGCCCAGATTCAGGCATAACTTACATTTTTAAGTTGTTGTATTAAAAAGCAATACAACATGCAAAACATTCCACTAACATAATCTGCGTCAAATAAAACTTATATTTGAAAATAAGATGTAATTTTCACTTTGGAGACAATATTGGAGAATCAGTCCTAAATTTGAATGCATTATTGACTGGTTTCAATTCGTTTCTATATCAAACCCAAATCGAATCCAAATATATGGTTAAACATAATTTCAATTATGTTTTTATAGAGTACATCCTTATATAGTAATCACTTAAAACTTTCAACAGTTACGGGCTTGAATTCTTTAACAACAAACACCTCCTTAAGTAAAAACCATGTAGATGAAGGGCAGATGAATTAATCAAGAGGCAGGAATAAAAATAAAAAGCATAAAATAATCGAAACATTTTTAATTGATACTCGATTGGTAACAAAATGGTAACTCTAACAATCTTTGAAAATAGTCCATCTACATTCCTGTACACATCACCTGCTCAAAACAAAAACAAAAAACTCAATCTTCCCTGTAATGTTAGAGCCCCATTGTGCCTAAAATATAAAAAATGAATAAAACTTTCTTATCTCCTAGAAAGGTTAGGCCAACTAATAGTAAACAGTGAGGACTTCAAATAAAAATTATAGTTACGTGCAAAAATGAATAAGTAAACAAACTACGCTTAACTTAAAGATACATATTTGGTTTAAAATCGAGCAAAGTAATATACAAAACGCCACTCTATCCTTAAAGCTCTTTGGCGCAATGGTAAACAAGTTAATTAATTAACACAAGTTAATAACTGGATTGATATAGGTTTTTATTCGTCATGGCACAACGATTTTCTAATGAGTTTTACTTCCAGTTGCAGCCGTGTTAAAAATCATGAGCAAATTACTATAGTGCGATTCAGCATATACTGTACTCTGCAGAATTGTTAAAAACGTTCTGTACAGGGCAGTAATCGAGATAAAATCAACTAAATCCATAAACAATAAAATAATACCTAAGATCTACAAGGGTATCAAAATACTTGAACCGTATTGGCAACAGGCAGTTTAATTTTAAATAACGAAAATCTTCGATATGCATTCATTATGGCCTGAAAGGGTTTCGAAGCTATAGATTCCCAACGGGAATGCCCTGATTTAATGCCCTACTTCACTTAAGTAGTCAAAACATCTTAAGGTATGTACACACAACCTTGTGTTGGTTTACAATTTCACAATCTACCATACCACTGTTGCCAATATAACGGACAAACAAAACCTAATAAATGCGGTGAACCGAAGACGGTTGGTACGACTGAATAACTCTTAACAAAAGATAATTTGAGGATAGGAGTGCCAGGAGTCCTATGGCACACGTTTTGGGGTAATATATAAGTATGTTTTAATATATAAGGGGAAAAATTAGAAGAATGAAAATTGTCTTATAATGCTAATTTGGATATTTTAACGTTTATTTCACCAGGTTTAACAAAACATGATCCCTTTGAGACTAGATTTTTAAAAGCTGATATTTGTATTCTACTATTGAATACGTACTTGATATGAGGTATAAGTTATTATTGGAAGTAAGTCATTTTTGCTGTAAAATGAATGACAAAACAATAATTTTACTACATTTATCTGAAGTTTGATTCAATTGTAGTCGTCTACATCTACGAAAGGGACATTCAAGGATTATTATCACTGAAATAATGATTTTTTATTTATTATTGATATTTAGTTATATTATCTTCTAAAATCGGTAAAACTATGTTTTAATGGGTCTTACTGAGACAACTATTTTCAACATGTCTCAGAAATTATACGTTTATATATTGGACACATTCCCTGACACTCCTTTCGATCCCAAAACTTTAAAACTAATTAACGTATAAAATGTCTATTGCTAATCAATTTACACCTATTTACATTACATACAAGGTTGGATTTTGAAGGTTGAAAGTGTCCGAGCTGTCACTGGTTAGTCTCTGTTACTGTATATACACTGATAACTCACGTGAAGGTAGGCACAACTCACGTTGCCGTCGCATTGCTGTAGGTCCGCGGGTAGATGAACCTCCGGTAGACGGAGGCTCAACTCCAGGCGGCCCTGCGATGGCGTCAGAAGAGCTCCGGGGAGGACGGGTTGGAATGGCCGGTGCTGGGGACTCCGTCGCTGCCGTCCATCCTCAGTTGCCCTTGCAGAGTCTCGTACCTGTGTTTGTACAAGTTCAGCTCTCCCCTCACGTGGTTCAACTCCACCTGGAGTCTGTGGATCTCCCCTTGTAGCTGACGGTTGTTGAGCTCCAGCTCGTGCCGCTGCACGAGTCTCTTGCTACGACAGTTCTGAGCGTACCCGCGGTTCTTCAGAGTGCGTCTCTTCTGCTTCAGACGCACCACGTCTTCTCTAGGCAGTCCGTGCAGACGCTTGTTCAATTCCCGGACTGACAGGTGGGTCAACATCTCATCGCTGATGATGTCTTGTTCTCCACTCATGTGCCGCTGGTGCTGCATGGGAGAGACTACGCTGCTGCTTACACTCATCGGTCTCATGCAGAGATCCTCCTCGTGCTGATGCAAGTAGTCGGGATGCTGCATCCGCTTCTGCTGATGCCAATCCTCTATCTCGCCGCAGGGCAGTGTGGGGCGAAGATCCAAAGGTTCTTGACGAAGCGATTGCGTCAGCCACACCATATCGTCCATGAGCCCCGGCGGCTTGTGCATATGCGGCTGGTCCACGTGGAAGTGTCCCGGTGGACTGGCGGACAGGTTTGGAGACATTGAGATAGGTGGAGTGTCTGGCGGAGTGCCTGGTGTGTTTGGGTACATCACCAGACTGTTCTGTTTGATGGCGCTGACGACCACGCCGTTCTGGGTGTGGACCACCATGTTCTGCGCGTGCTGGATGTACTGTTGATGGTACCCGGGGTGTCCGTGGTCTGCCTGGTGTGCTGGAGGTGTAAGGAGGTGTGGAGGTGACGGTATAATCGGCGGTCCGCAGATCGGCATCGGCGGCAACCTCTGCGCTGTCGGCACCGCTCGCATCTCCCTGGGGTCCTCCTCGGTGTTGTTGTTGGTCTCCCGTTTCACCGCAACTCCCTCCAGGTGATCCAGTACGAACTCCTGGACGTACTCGTCCGCGAGATGGCGATCCGGTCCCTCCATGTCACTCTTCATTTGTCACCCGCGCACAACTTACTATCATCGAAGTCACCGGCCACTGGTTTACGTTCCGCGTCAACTTTGCGACTGAGGAACGGCGCAGCTCGCCGGGCGTCGGGGCGGGGATGGGTGGCGGTGGGCGGGGCTTGCACCTCCTTCTCTCTCATTGGTCCGAGCCGACTCCGCCCCTACAGGTGTATCGAGCTGCTCTCGAAATATTCATTTCACGATGCTCACTTTATTGTCCTTAAATAACCCAGTTTAATACTTACACGGATACCTGCGAATTTGCGAAGCAGAGGTTTAAAACGACTACAAAATCGGCCATAAACAATAAATAAACCGTTTGAATCGAGCTCCTACATCACGGACTAACCCGAGGTTTATAAAACTGAACTTCACCAAGTTTTCCAATCATCATTGAATCATTCGGCTCTTTATAAGTCGATCCCGATAATCTAACTCATCCTTGTGAGCTTAGTTCATACAGTAATGAATGTATAATGGCATATAAAGTTAATTGGCATTATTTAGAACATTTCACGTCAATATCAAGTGCTACGGTGTTATTTAAACTGCTTCATATAGTTGTCTAAGTCAACTTAAAAACTCCCGTTTCCAATATACTTATAAAAGGAAAATAACACTCACCTTGATCACTATATATCACAAAATTATGACCTAGAATGATCAAATTTGTCATAGGGGGTCTCTGTATATTGTAAATGTGCAATAAGACGGGGTTTTACAAAATTTTAAATTGAAGGGGGCTTAGGGGGCAAGCTATAAACGGTGAAATTCGACTACCTGAGCTTTTATATTTTGGTCTGTATACTAAGCTGAACAAATGCTTGGACATTAGAGTTAATGGAAAATTGTCAGTACGTAACTACATTATTCACAACTTTTGTATTGAAAGGTCTTTATAGTCTCAAACGGTTTTCAAGTAAAATCAGTTTTAAGTCAAACTGTGAAAATTTACTTTTTCCTCACGTTTGCGCTTCAAAACAAGGCAGTTGCCACTTAACCACGATTATTAAACTTTTAATTTAATTAAAAAACTTTATATTTTACATAGACTAAAAAATTCATCAATTAAAATACTGGGGCTAAATACAACGGTATCTAGAAAGTAACTTGGTGATCAGATGATCAGATGTTTTGTTTACATTTTTGCTCAAGATAAACTATTCTATTAATTTATACTAGAGGTCGTCCAGTGGTCGAAACTCGACCAAAAATATTTAATGTACAGACTTCTTTATTTTCATTCCACACTGAATAGAACATGTGATTGGAGTTTCTTCCATTTGTTTTGATTTTCTGTTTATATTTCGTTGTTATTTCGTCACCAGCATGGCAACTCATAATATCCATGTTAAATTTTTCAAAATTTTAAATTCATTTTTTGTGCTTATTTTTGAGCCTATTTTAATTTAGTCAGGGATTCTGCACACCTACAGGAAAATAGCTTTCTAACAGTATGCGTAGATTTTCCCTACGATGCACACGAGCTGAGAAAAAGGGTTTTAAAGAAACATGCTTGCCTATTAATATATAGATAGATTCTAAATTTAGTGAAGTAAGTTAATATGAATATATGCACTACCTTTGACTATAATAGTCAATGGTATTCTTTTACTCCAAACAGTAACAACATTAACATAATGCAGTTGAAATTTATTCTCACGAGCAACAGAAGCCCGTTGTGGGGCTAAATACAACGGTATCTAGAAAAATTATAAGTACATTATTTGCTTAGTAAAATAAATCCAAATAAAAAATCGTAAATCTTCAATAATATTAAACTTGTATAACTATTTGCAAATCTACGCCAATTAATCTTTTCAACCAATTAATTATCAAAATCGATCCAGTAGAACATGTGTACAAAGTTTAACAAAATATATAAGTTAACTGACTCAGTATTTTCTCACCACTAAAAGTTCGGAGGCTGCTTAAATTTTTTGCAAATAACTTTTTATATGGTGAGGAAACCAACCAAAGTGGATGATGATATTTGGAAGAGCATAGCATTTCCTACAACTACAATCATGCATTTCTTGAAAATACTCAATAAAGGCAGCCTAAACTTGGCTACAAATAGAAACTTGGAAATCTGTTTTAATTTATTCTTGTGTTTTTATTTTTTCACAAAATATCTATAAAAAATCTAACTTTCATAACTATTTGCAAATCTACACGAATCCAGCTTTCCAACGACACATTAATAAACAAAATGGATCCAGTAGAACTGTGGATTTATTTGTATAAAGTTAAACAAATCTCTAACCCAGTATTATCTCACTACTATAAATTCGGAGGCTGCACTTTTTTGCAAATAACCTACAAAAGGTGAGGAAATCGACCAGTGGAAGATGATATTCTGAAGGAGACTAGAATTTTCTACGAATTTCTATTATGCATTATCTTGAAAATGCTCAATAAAGGCAGCCAAAAGTTGTATCCAAATAAAAAATGTGAAAACCCCCGTTTGAAATGTAAGTTATTTCTTATGGAAATTTTTTTTTCATCATAAATCTTAACAAAATCAAGCTTTTATAATAATTTGAAAATATACAAGGAGTGAGCTTTCCAACGACATATTAATTAATAAAATCGATCCTGTAAAACTATAGATTAAGTTTTTTTTTACTGAATTATTATAAGAGTATATTTTTATATGTTCTTAATAACTGTTATTAGACGGCAAATTATTGCAAGATCGCGCTCGCGCACAATATGTAGTTGTTATAGTGAAGCAACGTTATAAGCCGTGAGTTTTATGAACGGACAACCCTTTCTAGAGGGCCTATACAGCCTTAAAACCTTGGGTAGTAAGAACGAAACTTTTAACCAGTAGGGTTTCCAGTATACAATTGTTATAAGCGTAAGAAAAAACCACTATGCCTACGTTTGCCTCAGTGTAGAAGTATTTCAATTTCGAAACATTTGTTCTGAGGAATCGGGTTTATTATTGGTCTTCGATAAAACAATAATACATACATCGAGATACTGATATCGATATTATATTGAAACAAAACAGTTTTTTACACTGTTTTCAGAAAATAGTAACATGTAATAGCTATGAAGCAAAATTTAATCAGACTCATACAAATTCAAACAAGCTCCACGTAACGGTTCCATTATCACCGGTAATATATCACGCAAAATATCCACAGATACATCAAGACCTTGTATGACAGGAAAGGCTGACAAGCATCTGGTGTTATCAGTAGTCACGTGACTTGTTGATAACAGTCCCCCAGCTGACTGACCAGCTGTGTGCTACGTGTGTCTGCAGAGAATGTTTAGACGTAGGATGATAATTGGGCGATGAATGGATGACTCCTTGTACCATTGGATCAATGAAGCATGGTCGTGGTTAACACAACACTAGGCCTACACCAGTTTGTACCAGCGAACACAAGAATTAGACAAATTTTGGATCCCCGTGAACCCGAGGATGTAGTGGGCCACATTTGCATTCATATAAGCCTATATACCATTGATATTGTCGCAAGCGTATTATTTTACCATATCTGCCTGAAAAGTGTTTTATAAAACCGTATTACTGATTTCCTAAACATCGCTTAGTTGTGTTCTCTATGGTACATTCGTGGTGCTGTTTGACAGTACAGTAAAGTCATTGTTTATTATAGACTGATAGACTGATTATGATTGGAGTGTCCGATCTAGATAGATCACCAACCATCTTTTAAATGTATTTACCGTCTTGTGGGTCAACAGTATAAGTGTAAACATATATGTTACAAAATTAGACATATTTTTATGTCCTTTCAGAAGTAGGTACGCGATTGATTTATTTTCCCATAATTCATTTTGATGCATATTATATCATCAACATTATGTTTAGTCATGTATTATGACTTTTTAGCAAATAATTAATTTTGTTGTATTATTATTCAAAGAACTTTTCGAGTACGTTCAAAGAGACCATAATCATGTTTTATATCGCATTAGATTTTTTATTGTAACCATCATAAGTCAAATGCATATGTATTCAACGGACTTTAATATTATTGCAGTTTTAAATGTTGAGAGATTATCGTCGACAATTGTAATATTGTAAAAAAAATCATCATACATTGTTACATGAGAGGGTAAATTGTTTGCACCCTGTAATTGGCATGACTGAATCAAACGCAACATTGTATGTATGAGAAAGAAATATGAAAAACATAACGTAATAGTAAATACAATTTTTATGACAACTAATGAGAATATCAAAATATATGTCTATGTGTCAATTTATTTACAACATGAACATTGTGAGCAGTGTATCCAATCTAATTTGTTTAGTAAGCCGTTAAACTGCCACAACAACCAAAACTCAATATGTTTGCCAAAATCATGTTTGAATCAATTAAAACGGAACAGTTTCATTGAAATATCTGTGCTATGTAATAGGTTATATGCATTTTGGGAAGTTAAAAGATCTGCAATGCAATATAGTTTTATAATTATGATAGTTGCTATATAAATTTAATAAGTATAACTTACTATTGTGTATATGCATTTCATTATTGATTATGGCGTTCGATAACGTACAAGATTAATTAATTCATTAGTCAATATTTCCTGGTACTCAACCGATCATTTATTGAATTCAACCAAATCGTTTGCTAACTAGAAAGACCTACTCTAATCTATTGTTTATGATAAAATGATCGCTTTACTCTTACTTCACGAAAGAGTGGAAACTCAGGAAAGAGTAATATAGGCTATGCCTACGAATTTGTATATGCAACTGCTGAATACGACGGTTAATTGTTCAAAGAACATCATGTTTAACACTCTTGTTCATGCAAAGTTTTCCTTTGCTTCTGTTTAATCATATGGCTGACCTATTAGGAGTAATCTATTTATCTTATATTACTACTAGCAGAGTACCCGTCCTTCGTACGGGGTGTGCATATAAGTATAAAATGCTTATTGCAACTATGAGGTTAGGACATGGTTTAAGAAAGTTTGGTTCTTTTGTTCTACCACTGCCCCTGAACCAAAGAAAAAAAGTAAAGGTCTCATTCTGTACCACAGCTTTTTGTTGCTAGCTG